TCCATCTATATAACGAGGCTGGTACAGAGCAGGCACTCAAGGCAATATGGATTTGATTCTTTATAGCTACCCCTGTTTCCCTTATTCCAACTGGTCAAAGGACTAAAGAATATGTAATCACATCTCCAGGCCTTCAGGTGAACCTGTTTACCCAACCAACCATGGCTGTTAGACCCCTCTCTTCAAATTCAACAAGTTCAACTGTATTTGCAGCACCAGATTATTTTAGCCATGTCACAAGTGAGACTTAAAAAAATTTTTTAAGTATGTCTAGTAGATGATTGTTTCAAAGCTAGTGATGTTCCTAAAGCGAACTTGAATATGGTTCCATTTCTAGACTGAGTTCTTGCAATCTGCTTCAAATACTCTTGAGTAAAGCACAGGATTGATAAACAGTTACAAGGAGCAACAAGCTCACTAAGTTCCGGTTAGAATTAAGGCACAGTGGTAGGGACCACAGTGACTGAGAAAAATGAAAGAGTCTGTAAAGCAGTGAAGCAATAACTTTGAGCTTCAGGATTAGACCAACTTGGGTTCCAATTCTCACTCTACAATCTGCTAAATAGTGACTATGGGCAAGATCCTTAACCTATCCATGCCTCAGTTTCCTCACCAGTAAACTGGGGCTAACAACAGTACCAATGTCATGGGGTCGTTGAGAGGATGGACGAGATAAATCTGTACACATATTTAGCCCTGAGTCTGTACTCTGGTTATTAAATTCATTCTCAGCCTCAAGGATCTTATATACATTTACAAATGAAAGTATTCAGAATGAAAGAATAGCACTAAATGATACCTATTAAGTGAGCAGAATTGGTCACAAAAAATGCAAAACTTTAGGAGTGCAAGGCACCCCTTTATCTAAGGATGGTAAAAGGTCTCGTGGGAGAGGTGAGACTGAAGTAGACAGAGCCGTGGATACAAACAGGCCTCCTGTGGGGGGCACCTGCCATTTGCCAAACACCGTGGGACACCTTGTACATAATCCCCACAAGCTACCAGGTAGATACCTTTAAACTCCCGTTTTATATAAGAGAATCTATTTTACTGATGATAGCTGAGACTCACAGAGCTTTAGTAATTTCCCCGTGTCAACCAACTGGCGGCAGATCTAGGTTCAAAATCAGGTCTGCCTGACACCAAGGCCCTTGCTCCCAGCACTATTCTGTTGGTAGAGGGGTGTAGGGGGAGAAGGGTGAACGGGGAGATAAATCACTCCAGTATGAGGCAGGAAGGAACAGAGTAATCTTACTATATGGCAAGCGGGAAGCAAACAATTTACGATTTTTTTTAAAACAAGGAAAACAAGGGTAGAAAGGTGGGTTGGGGCAGAGAATGAAAAGCTAAGGAGCTCAAACTTCAGCCTGTGAGCAATAAGAAATCATTTTTTTGTTTTGGTGTATGTGTGTGTTTTTAATTAAACACTACTACCACTACCACTGCTAAGAGCACTTATTGAGCATCAACGAAGGGCCAGGCCCCACGCTAAACTGTTTGCATACATTATTTCTAATAGTTACAATTCTGGAATTTAGGTATTGTTACCCCTATTTCACAAATGAAAAAGGCCCCAAGAGGTCAGGCCACTCACTCAGATGCCTCCAGTAATGGCAGGGTGGGGTTCATAAGTGAGTGTGCGTGAGATCAAAGTCAGGGCCCTTTCCCCTAAAAGAGTATTGCAGAAAAACGTCCCTCACTATAGAGAGCCGAAAAATAGGCAAAAAGAAAATGGAGACAGGGAACTAGGCAGAAACCAATACAGGAGATAAATGTCTCAACTGGAGTCACTGTGAAAATGGAAAGGAGGTGACAGAGAGCAAATGTGTTCATGACCTTTTCTTTCATCTACTCCGTTTCTGTGTCACGATCTGCTGCCTGAAGTAGAAACCAAGTTAGTCATTATTCCAGTCTCTCTCACTGTCCTCGCCTTCAACCCCTGACGTGAGTCCTGCTCTTAGCCCAACGCAAACGCTGTTTTAAGTATTCACTTGCCCGTCACAATGTAATCAGGGCTAAAATATGGCATCATTCTCTAATCTGTTATCTGTGGTGAAGGGCAATCATTCAAGAGAATAAAACTAAGCTTCCACAACTAATAAATCACATTACGCTTCACATACCAACATTTAAAAAAACCTGACTCAAACACAGAGTCTGTCAAATCAGGAGGACACACATGCTGAGCTCTAATGAGTTCCGCCAAATCCTACATTATTATTAAAGTTCATCGTGATCTCCTGGTTTTATAAAATGGAGTGTGGTACCAACATTTGTTGGGCTGCTTTCTAGTTAATATTCTAGGGAAAGTAGCACAATAAATAAAGCAGTAGGAAATGTATGCATTATGAATATATCTTTCAAACTAATGAAAAAGCTAAGCGGACAATTACATTATCTCATTTGGTGGAATGAAGGGTTAGAAGTTTTAACATTCATGTAATGATTCCAAAAAACCCAAAACATTTTTGCACTAAAACCTTAGTCCTACTTATTCAATTACGAACTTCAATATTTTAAGTGGAAAATCAGTAATATAACTAGGATACACAGAAATGAGCTGAAATTCATACAAATAAAACAGTACAATTTTCCTGTCCACATACACAGTCAATACATAAATATTCCTAACATTTTACAATATTAATTTCAAACATCTGTTTCTGGGAATAAAATTATGAAAGACACGGCACTTACGAGTCCCATATACTAAGGATAAAAACAAATAGGGTTTGTGCAATACTTTCACCAGAAAAAGATATTTACATATATAAGATAAAGCAAAATGACAGCATAAACATTATAATTTTACAGCTCTTAATTATGTAATGATCTGTGGTTTGTTTTTTAATCTGTTAGACTTAATTTTATTCCTATGTGCAAAGACATACATGGGTATTAAAGAACTCCGCTCACCTATACAAACTTAAACTCAGCCAAATATCATGGAAAATTTAGTGATAAGGTCCTTTCTCTGAAGGCAGACTTACTACTATGTCACTCTTCAGTATAAAGATACAACTACCTTAATAAACAGATCAGAAGCCAAATCATCTTTTTTTTTTCTTTTCATCAATTGAGGCTCCCTGAAAACCCAGTTACACAAATAACTTCATTCACCTTTTCTCCAAATCTGAGTGTTTCGTTAACTAAGCCAGATAGCACCACATTCCCACTGGTCCAGCTACCTGTCATAACAGCACTTTACTGCAACTCCACCCTTTTCCCACCTTCAGTTTCAACTGTGCACTCAATTTTTTTTCCTATTAGAGAAAAAATTAGGAGTTCCAATCCTCAAAGTAGTTCAGTGAACTGTCACATTAACATTGTTTAACCCCGGGGAATTTTCTGTTTAATTGCCACTCTCTCCTTTCCCCCAAAGGACTACATCTTATGGTGATGGAGTAATGGAAGGCACTGCATTAAGAAACACAGAGCAAAAACATCATGGGTTTACATTTTTAAACATCTAACCTTTTCACGAGGCACTGTTAATCATTTTCACCTGTGACTTTAATAATCAGCCTGGTAATTAGAGAAGTAAAATCTTCAGGATAGAACTAGGTGAAGATGCCCCATTCATAACCATTACCGTATCAGGGAAAGGAGAAGAAAGCTATTTTGTCGTATGTGATATGAAGAAAGTTTTACACGTTGGTTCCACCAAATCTTGAGACAGTAGAGCTCCTACTTAAAATATTCGTCTTCTAAAAGTCAAGATTTTTTTAAAATAATATCTTACTGTATTTTCAAATACTAAGTTTTTACTTTCTGTAACAATTTTTCAACTTTAGGGCTCAGGGGAAAAAAAAGCTCCATAATAAGCACAAAAATAGAAGGGGGGAAAAAAGCTAGTGCTTTAAATTATTCTTCCCCGGAGAAATTAAAACCATTAACATTACACCACTTAATCATTTATTTCATTATGAAAGGCAAACTGAAAGCACAAGTGGTAATATTCTGAAACTGTGATGGAAATTCTTCTACATCAATGAACACACAAGTTTGGAAGGTACAAATATGTTCTCTGTCAGCTGTAGTCCATCCTCAGCAAGTCATTTTCCCCTGGGCTCAGGCTCCATGCCATGGAAATCTTCCTTAACTGCCGAAGGCGGAAAGGGATTCCCTGCGAACAGCATCTGGACCACACCTTGTTTAGTCACACAAGAAGCTGACAAGGGCTGGAGGAAAATGCATCTGGTCCAAAGGTGAGAGGACAGGGCCAACAATCAAAATACAATTTAACAGAGAGGGCCCCTAAAATGGCTATTCATCCAATCGTGTTCTTCTAATCAGTCCTGGCCATCCGCTACCAGATGTTGGTCATTCTGTGGGCTGGCTGGTAGGATTTTGTGGTCCAGCAGCTGCCAGCCTTTTATAACCTCAGTAACATTGTGGAAGCATCCATTTAGGGTATAAATATGCTTTTTGGCATTAAAACACTGCCAAGTGAAATATTAGAGAACACCCCACTCACTGCAGAAATTTCCCAGTTTCAAAGCGTCTGGGATGAAGATTCCAAATTACCTGTAGCAAAATTTCTTTTAGATCTTTTTTTTAATCCTCTTGCTTGCTGAAGAACCTAGTGAGGAGCCTCACAAAGATGATACCCACAGTTTAGGTTATTGGTCCTACATTTACCTAGTTAGAGAAGGAAGGAGAAGTGCTTGATAGTTACCCAGGATCCTTCCACTTGTAGCAGGAATGAACACCAAAAAAGCATCAGGACACTCAACTCCTTAGAGATTCAAAAGCCTTCCAGAGGAATAAAGAGAAAAGAGATCTCTCGCTCCCCACCTGCACCACCCCACACACACCCTGTTTCTGCCCTAGCCTTAAAAGCAGCAGCCAGTCTGTAATTCCATGCGGTTCCAGAGAGAATCCTTTATTCCATGGGGCTCCCGGATCTGACCCCAGGAAAGCCCGGTCGGTCATCCTTCTCCCCACCTTTCCAACCTCCACATTCAACTCCTCCTCTCCGCCCCAGGCCACCTCCTTACCTGATAATGTCGTCGTTGTGTCCCAAGAAGAATTTTTGGCTGTGCTCGCGGGTGTTGTAAACCACCCCGACCCCAGCCACAAAGTAGACCACCTCCTTGCCGGCCGTGTAGTACAGGTTGTTGCGGCACTGGTGACCCCGGTACCCGTACACCCACTCCAGCCGGAGCTGGCAGCTGGGAGCTGTCCGATCCGCCATGATAAGCCGACCCCACTCGCCCCCCGGCCCCCCCGCGCGCCGGTCCGCGGCCCCTGCGCGCCGGGTCTGTCCTCGCCAAGGCTCGGGCTGCGGAGGACCTGCAAGGGCTCAGGGCGCAGCGCCGGGCGCTGATTTCCGCGGCGACGCACAGATACAGCCCAGCGCGCCCGCCGCCACCATCATCCGCCGCCGCCGCCGCCGGAGACCAGCCGCCGGTGCGCGGCCGCCAGACCCCACCGGGCGCCCCGGCTCCCTCTGCCCCGGCGAGGCGTCTTCGGGGGCGCCAGCACCGGCGCGCGCACGCCTCACTGCACCTGCGGGCTTCGGCCCCCGGGGGAGGTTCTTGGGGGGTTCACCCTGCCTTTTATATCAGGGATCTGCATATCCAAACAGTGATTACCCCAGTTCTCTCACTGAAGTTTGCAGTGCGCAGGGGGCTTCGCAGCAGGCAGCGGGGTTTATTCTGTGACAGCTTTGATTTGACAGGGAACCCGGGTAAGCTTTGCCATCATCATCCTTGGATCCGAAACTGACAGTCTATATCCAGGACGCGAGAGCGAGGAAGAAAAAAAACAGATTTTTTTGCATAAGTCACCCAGTCGAAGAAAATGATCCCCAAACTAAACTAAGTTGTTTTTTTTAATTGTCAACTACTCCCCCCTTCTCTCTCCAGTTCCATCTTCTTAATGATATGAAATGTGCCCTAAATGTTGCAGGCTGGTGGTTGCTGATATGACTTGAAAGAACATTTGCTGTCTCCCCATTAAGCCAGGGTGAATACGTAATGGACATTTTTCAGATGCTCCAATTAGTTGTGTATGTGTTTAAAATTCATATCATCGGTGAACCCTCTTTTGGCCGAGATACCATAAAGAACTTAGCAGCTCCCTAATCAGCAACTCCAATTGCAAGCGTCATACAAGATTTTTCTGAATCGGAGGAAATGAGACACTAGTGCCGGTGGAGGCAGGAAAGCACTACCTACAAACGCTCCCGGTCCAAAAGAAATTAAACAATTAACAAGTGGCACAAATCGTGTACCTCTCCCCAAGAAGGTCTGCGGTAGCTACAGGGTCCCGTGGGCTCAAGGGTCACGCCTCTAGCCCGGCTGGGGGCGGGGGCGCCCGCGGAACCACAGGGACAGTCAGCTCCACACGCGCGCGCACACACATCCCAGGCATCAGTCGCCGTGAGTCCGAGGGACGCTGGCCCCTAGGGACACCCCGGCCCGCGCGCACTGCGCCCTAGGGGTGTCCTGCACTCCTCCCACACCCGATACGGCCTCGCCGCCGAGCATCCCCGCTTTCTCCGCTTCTAACCTCTGCTCGGAGCTGGCGCTGCCAGCACGTCCTGGATCTCGCACAGGCGAGCGAAATCCTCTGCCTGCCCTCCCCTCCCCGCCTCCCGCACCCGCGGATGGGCTTCGTCACTGGAGCGCCGCGGGAGACAGGTTCTTCCTCCAGCCGGGGCTCCGGGGGCGGGGCCACCGCACGGCTTTCGGGAACCGCGGCGGCCAGTTACTAGGCAAGATCACTGCTCTTGGAAACCGCGACGCCCCAAAGCGTTGGGGCCGCCCCTTGCCTCTCCCCGCCCAGGTTGCCCTTTCCCCGGTGCATCCTGGGAAGTGTAGTCCTCTCAACGCCGGCTCCGGCTGGGAGAGCAGGGAGTGCGCGGCGCTAGACCACAAGTCCCAGGATTCCGCGCGCCTAGAGGGAAGCGTGGAGGTACCCGTTACTGACGGCCGCTTTGCCTCCTGTTCTCCCGCTCAGTAGAGGAAGGCGCACCAAAGGAGTTCGCTTGCCAGCGCCCTGCGTTCTCTAGTGACCCAGGCGGCTGACCTGCGTGCAGGTGTATCCGTGTAGAAGAGCAGTGGAGTTGGAGTAGAGACAATCTCTACGGCCCACCTCGAGAATTTCTTCTGCACCAGTCCCTGAGGGTTACTCTAGTAGCCGACATCCTCCTCGTTCTGTAGCCGACTCAAGCCAAAGTTTGTTTCCTACTTGAATTTTCCCTTTTATACATACGGGTTGTGCTATATTAAAGTCCAGTGCTGCCAAATTTAAGAAAAATGCTGGGGAGGTGGTCTCACTTTGCCCTATCTAAGAACCAGCGCCTTGCCATGAGCTCCCTTCTAAATTAGGGGACTTGGGTATTTGAGGATGACCAGATTTTGGAAATGGGAAAGATGCTTGCTCAGCCCTAAGCAACTAACTTTGGCCCTCAAACCCAAAAGCAGGTGGCATTTCTCCTTAAACTGCCCGCAGTGAACTATGAGTTACACGGTGTTCTGAAGCAGCCTGTTTTCAAATTGGGGCCACAGCGACCTGTGGGAAGAGATTTCAAAATCCCAGTGACTAAAAGGCTGCAAAAGGATGATAGAAGAAACGTCAGGAGCATGTCCTTTCCATTCCGTGCTCTCAGTGTGATTGCTTACTCAGTTCTTCAACTACCTCAGGCTTTAATATAGTGCTCTGAACGGTAGGAGAGCCTCTGGAAGATTAGAATTGTCAGAGTTTGGATGAGCAGTTGGTACCTGCAGCAGTGAAGACGAGGTGAATTGGTCTCATCTTTCTTTTAAGGAAACAGGAATCTACAAACAGGTGACACTGTGCTAGCCAATAAGGACATAACAAAAACAAAAACAAAAAACATGGCCTGAAAAAGTTTTGAGACATAAGCAAAAATATAGATGACCAGTAATGCCATGCCATAAAACAGTGCCAATGAATTATCCAGGCATACCTTGGAGATACTGTGGGTCTTTTTCTAGACCACCACAATAAAGCGAACATCACACTAAAGTGAGTCACCCAAATTTTGGTTTCCCAGTGCATATAAAAGTTGTATTTACACTACACCATAATCTATTAAGTGTGCAATAGCATTATGTCTAAAGAAAAAAAGGTACATGCCTTAATTAAAATATACTTTATTGCTAAAAAATGCTAACCATCATCTGAGCCTTCAGCAAGTCATAATCTTTTTGCTGGTGGAGGGTCTTGCCTGGATGTTAATGGCTGCTGACTGATCAGAGTAGTGGTTGCTGAAGGTTGGGGGAGCTGTGACAATTTATTAAAATAAGACAACAATGAAGTTTGCTGCATCGATTGAGTCTTCCTTTCACAAACGCTTTCTCTATAGCATGAAATGCTGTTTGATAGCTTTTTACCCACAGTAGAACTTCCTTCCAAATTGCAGGCAGTCCTCTCAAACCCTGCTTCTGCTGTATCCACTACGTTTACATAATGTTCTAAATCCTGTCTTTTAACTTCAACTAGCTTCACAGCAACTTTGCCAGGAGTAGATTCCATCTCAAAAAACCACTATTTTTGCTCATCCCTAAGAAGCAATACCTCATCCATTAAAAATTTTATCAAGCAATTCAGTCACATCTTCAGGCTCCACTTCTAGTTCTCTTGCTATTTCCACTACATCTGCAGTTACTTCCCTCACTGAAGTCTTGAAAAGTCATGCATGAGGGTTGGTATCAGCTTCTTCCAAACTCCTCTTAATGATATTTTGATGTCTTCACATGAATCACAAATGTTCTTAATGGCTTCTAAAATGGTGAATCCTTTCCAGAAGGTTTTCAATTTATTTTGCCCAGATCCATCAGAGGAATCACTATCTATGGCAGCTACAGCCTTATGAAATGTATTTCTTGAATCATAAGACTTGAAAGTCAAAATTACTCCTTGATCCATGGGCTGCGCAATGGATGTTGTGTTATCTGGCATGAAAACAACATTAATTTCTTAGCACATCTTCATCAGAGCTCTTGTGTGACTGGGGGCATTGTCAATGAGCAGTAATATTTTGAAAGGAATCTTTTTTTCTCAGTGGTAGATCTCAACAGTGGGCTTAAAATAGTCAGTAAACCATGTTGTAAACAGATGTGCTGTCATCCAGGCTCTGTTGTTCCATTTATTTACAGACACAGTAATTTTAGCATAATTCTCAAAGGCCCTAGGATTTTTGAAATTATAAATGAACATTGGCTTCAACTTAAGTCATTAGCTGCATGAGCTCCTGACAAGAGAGTCAGCCTGTCCTTTGAAGCTTTGATCCAGACATTGACTTCTCCTCTCTAGCTATGACAGTCCTAGATGGCATCTTCTTCCAATATAAGGCTATTTCATCTACACTGAAAATCTGTTGTTTAGTGTAGCCACCTTCATTAATTATCCTAGATAGATCTTCTGGAGAACTTGCTGCAGCTTCTATCTTAGCCCCTGCTTCTTTACCTTGCACTTTTATCTTGTGGAGACGGCTTCTTTCCTTAAACCTCATGAACCAACCTCTGCTAGATTGAAATTTTTTTTCGGCAGCTTCCTCACCTCTCAGCCCTCAGAACTGAAGAAAGCTGGGGCTTTGTCTGGATTAGGCTTTGGCTTAAGGGAATTTTGTGGATGGTTTGATCTTCTATCCAGACTGCTAAAACTTTTTCCATATCAGCAATAAGGCTGTTTCACTTTCTTATCATTTGTGTGTTCACTGGAGTAGCACTTTTAATTTCCTTCAAGAACTTTTCCTTTGCGTTTACAATTTGACTAATTGTGTGGCACAAGAGGCCTAGCTTTCAGCCCATCTCAGCTTTCAACATGCCTTCCTCATTGAGCTTAATCATTTCTAGTTTTTGATTTAAAGTGAGAGACGTGTAGCTTCCCTTCACATGAACACTTAGAGGCCACTGTAGGGTTATTAATGGGGCTAATTTTAATATCAGTGTGTCTCATGGAATAGGGAGGGGAATAATAATAAAAACAGTAGTTGTCAAAGCATGAGGTATTAAAGGCTTGAGACAGTGCTTGAGGTATACATTAGAGGTTGTAGCAATAGTCCAGAAAGGGACTTCTTCCAAAGACAATGTAAATGTATGTTGAAAGGAGTCTCCTAAACAAGTAGAAATGGATGTGATATGACATGTTCATTTCCTCAGTTATCTTTAATATAACTAATGACCACCATGCTACACTAGATTGCACGTTTAATTAAATGCGTTATAAGAATAAGTTCTGGG